CTTTCTTTTCCTTCCTGAGATATGTGACTTTAAAATATCGTAAAAATAAGATTTTTATGATTTTAGTAAAAATGATTTAGTCCCAATGTGATCTTAACTTTGGCATATATTCTCAAAAGATCATGATTCTCAATAACTTCAAAAAAATTTTCACAAGAAGGGTTCCTTCCCCACTAACACGTTCTCTTTACAATAAATCACGTAAAACACGATGTTGAAGTAAATAATCAATGTTTATTTTTATCTGTAGTAATGGCTAGAAATTCGTAGAGCTGCATTCAAAAGAAAAGTTTTAGCAAAACTAAACTACGTTATCCCGAAGCGTATTAACAGTGACATAATAACGAGCCAATTTAAACAAAAAAAATACACAAAACAAATATATCTCAGAAACGAAAAGAGAGAATGTCACATAATTTAAAGCGTGTATTACTTAGGAATGCACCCTCTATAATATATGTATGTCAAAAGGAAAGTGATTCTCTCTCTCTCTCTCTCGTGAGAGATAAGTTAATGGCAAGATTAACCAAGATTGATACTAATTGCGTTGTGTGTAAACATTCTTCCCCTACCTTTGCTGTAAGAAGCGAGCAATAACAGATTCACTAACGCTGCTCCAGTGTCATGGCCCATCAGAGTTATTCGCGTTGGATCGCCGCCAAAAGCGCCAATGTTCTCACGCACCCAGCGTAGTCCCATCGTGATGTCCTTTAAAGCCAAATTCCCGCCAGATCCGTTCGTCCTGTTGGTGAAAGGACGACTCCTCAAGAATCCTGGAAAAACGCCAAACCGTTTGCGATTCAACACTCTCACGGGATTGTCGTCGGATAATATCCTTCCTTCTTCCCTTCTCCCTCTCTCACTCTCGTTTTATTACATTTTTTCTTTTTTTATTCGTTCTCTCGCAATATTTTCTGCGCGCGCGTGCGATTGAATCTCATTCACAAATTCAAAAGTGCTATCAATTTTTTTTTTTTTAAATTATGTATTTAGATACTTGTAAAGAGGAATTTGTTATTTCAATCAAGCAGCAAATAAAAGCAAAGTATGCTTCTATTTGCAAATAAAAAAAAAAGAATTTGTATTTTTTATCTTTATTATACTTAATTACTTCCTTTAAAAAAACATCTTTTAAATTCTTGACTGCTTGCTTGAAAAACACAGGTTTTCTTTATTATAATAAATAATTTTTTATCTTCAAATAAATATCTTTTTAATTAAAATTTTAAATAATGTATTTTAAAAATTATAATTTTTATATGCAACTAATAATTTATTGGATATAACGTAACATTTTTGGAAACAAGTATATATATGTTTATTTATTTATTTATTAAAGTAAAAAAAAAAATAATATTAACAAAATATATTTATTTGATGAAAACAATTTGATTTTTAGCATACATATCGGACGCAAAGATTCGATTTAACGTTTCTCCGACCAGCCGCGATAGTTAAGCGAAACATGCAAATGTTCGTTACGCCATTAAGTCATAATCCAAGGCCGTCTCTCACAAGCAAATACATGTAATTGACATTTTCGGACTTTGCTATGTTCGTAACGCGATGACAGAGATGCATTCGTAGGTCTTGGAAATATCAATATTGACTTAAGTATGTGTAAGTGGTTTTCCCGCAGACTACATCTCTCTATATTTTCGCGTGCATCTAGATAGTTAATGATACGAACTTACTTCCCGGGAAAGTGCGAGTCGTAATAAGCGGGCGAGACCGTTTTACAGAGACGCAAGGGTGAAACCTTTATAGAGGAGCGTAATTGGATATTTAAATATTATTATATACAAGGCATTTCCAGGGTTAAACGTCCTTACTTAAAATATGAATTTAGAACTTTAAGTAAGAAAGTTCCTTCAGAGGTATGCTCTCGCAAATGCTTTATTCAACAAATATTGACATCTAAAATTACGGCTAGGAATGATAAGTAAAATTATTGTACAGTTATTCTACTAATACGAAATTATCTCCGGAACTGTGAATATTACATAAACTGTACACAAATATTATCGATATATCATTGACAAATATTTCTATTTGTTCAATAGTTTTCAAAGAGTCATCATATTGAACCAAATTTATAATAATATTAAAATTTTTATATTTTTTAGTAATATAAAATAGTTGAAATGCACTGTTTATTTATTATAACCTGATAATAATATCATAAAATTCTATATTCAAAATGATTAAATGTTAATATTTCTTGAACAAGGCGTTTGCGCGTCAGCATATCCCTGAAGGATCTTTATCATTTATTTCAAAATCCGAAAATTCATTTTGATGTTTAATCTTGAAATACCTCATATACATACATACATGAAAGCTTTTCTACGGATCAATTATGAAATAACGCATAAAGCTCTTGAAATTAGCAAATTCTAAATGAATAATTGAAAATTAGAAATATAAATTAGAGAAATTATGGGGAAGGGTTACATAAAAATTGAGATATTTCAACACAATAATAAAAACCACAAACACTACTAGAAATTTCCTTGTTTATTCCGCGCTCGTGGAATGTTGCGTCCGCAACTTAATGAAAATGCTTTCAAGGGCGTGCAGGAGCTAATTAATTATAGGGTGGCACATACCTAAGATGCCGAGACGATAATTGAGTGTGATCACTATGACGTGGCCGGCGCTCGCCAAGACCGATCCGTCGTACATGTTACCCGATCCCCATTCGAAACTCTCACCGTGTACGTAAACCATCACCGCATACGGCGCCTCCAGTCCTCGAGATCCTGAAAGCAACAGCGCAGCACTCTGTCGCTCTTCCATTTTCTTCCGAGAATAAACCTCTTATCCGTATAAACCTCCCATTGACAGATCCAGCTTTCTCGTAATACCGCGCGACATTATCGCTTACGTAGCATTATGTTTTCCCCGCTTTATCCCTCGAGAGAGCCGCGGAACATGGAACAGCGGAGATTTCGTTTAGCGAGTCTGTATCGTTTTGTATATAAATTATTCCCGTATATATTTCTCTGCATACATTTATTAAGGGCCCAGTCTACTCTAGCGATATGAAAAATTGATAAGTTTTAGGATTTTTTTTTTGACGTTTTACATATGTTTTTATTGATGTTTAAAAAGTACATCATATTTTAAAATCTTGGATATTCAGCTTTTTTTTTTTTGGTCAATACGAGCCTCTGCGCGTAGCGTGTTAAAAAATAACATGTTCTCACAAGCAAATACATGTAATTGACATTTTCGGACTTTGCTATGTTCGTAACGCGATGACAGAGATGCATTCGTAGGTCTTGGAAATATCAATATTGACTTAAGTATGTGTAAGTGGTTTTCCCGCAGACTACATCTCTCTATATTTTCGCGTGCATCTAGATAGTTAATGATACGAACTTACTTCCCGGGAAAGTGCGAGTCATAATAAGCGGGCGAGACCGTTTTACAGAGACGCAAGGGTGAAACCTTTATAGAGGAGCGTAATTGGATATTTAAATATTATTATATACAAGGCATTTCCAGGGTTAAACGTCCTTACTTAAAATATGAATTTAGAACTTTAAGTAAGAAAGTTCCTTCAGAGGTATGCTCTCGCAAATGCTTTATTCAACAAATATTGACATCTAAAATTACGGCTAGGAATGATAAGTAAAATTATTGTACAGTTATTCTACTAATACGAAATTATCTCCGGAACTGTGAATATTACATAAACTGTACACAAATATCATCGATATATCATTGACAAATATTTCTATTTGTTCAATAGTTTTCAAAGAGTCATCATATTGAACCAAATTTATAATAATATTAAAATTTTTATATTTTTTAGTAATATAAAATAGTTGAAATGCACTGTTTATTTATTATAACCTGATAATAATATCATAAAATTCTATATTCAAAATGATTAAATGTTAATATTTCTTGAACAAGGCGTTTGCGCGTCAGCATATCCCTGAAGGATCTTTATCATTTATTTCAAAATCCGAAAATTCATTTTGATGTTTAATCTTGAAATACCTCATATACATACATACATGAAAGCTTTTCTACGGATCAATTATGAAATAACGCATAAAGCTCTTGAAATTAGCAAATTCTAAATGAATAATTGAAAATTAGAAATATAAATTAGAGAAATTATGGGGAAGGGTTACATAAAAATTGAGATATTTCAACACAATAATAAAAACCACAAACACTACTAGAAATTTCCTTGTTTATTCCGCGCTCGTGGAATGTTGCGTCCGCAACTTAATGAAAATGCTTTCAAGGGCGTGCAGGAGCTAATTAATTATAGGGTGGCACATACCTAAGATGCCGAGACGATAATTGAGTGTGATCACTATGACGTGGCCGGCGCTCGCCAAGACCGATCCGTCGTACATGTTACCCGATCCCCATTCGAAACTCTCACCGTGTACGTAAACCATCACCGCATACGGCGCCTCCAGTCCTCGAGATCCTGAAAGCAACAGCGCAGCACTCTGTCGCTCTTCCATTTTCTTCCGAGAATAAACCTCTTATCCGTATAAACCTCCCATTGACAGATCCAGCTTTCTCGTAATACCGCGCGACATTATCGCTTACGTAGCATTATGTTTTCCCCGCTTTATCCCTCGAGAGAGCCGCGGAACATGGAACAGCGGAGATTTCGTTTAGCGAGTCTGTATCGTTTTGTATATAAATTATTCCCGTATATATTTCTCTGCATACATTTATTAAGGGCCCAGTCTACTCTAGCGATATGAAAAATTGATAAGTTTTAGGATTTTTTTTTTGACGTTTTACATATGTTTTTATTGATGTTTAAAAAGTACATTATATTTTAAAATCTTGGATATTCAGCTTTTTTTTTTGGTCAATACGAGCCTCTGCGCGTAGCGTGTTAAAAAATAACATGTTGCTTCTCGTGTTATTGTCTGAAATAAATAATCTTATTCCAGTTTTATTCCGTAGGATATTTATTGTGGGATATATCTAATTTCATTAGAGAAAATTAAAAAATAACAAAAAGTGTCATTTTAAAATTAGATATTTCAGTTTTGCTGAAATTTTTTCATTTCTTGAAAGTCGAAGAAATATTAAATATTAATTTTTAAAATTCTTTTTGTTTTATTAAATTCTAATTAGAGGTTCGATATCCCCCTAAAAAGTATTCTTTCTTATTTAAGAGAATTGATGTTATTTAGTCCATTAGTTTTCAAGATATCGATCACACTAATTTTGAAAACAGTATTTTGAGAAAAACACTTTTAAAGTTTTGCAGATCCAATTAAAGATCCGTGCATTATTTTATTCAAAGTCTTATAACTCCGACAATTATGCGAATTTTTCAATGAAATTTGAAAGACATTCTCCAGATATTATACTTTCAAAAAATGTAAAAAAAAAATTAATTTTTTTTGATCCTCTAATATAGATTGGGCCCTAAACTTTGTTCCATAATATACCTGATTTCAATTTTAAATTTATTTTTGAATCTTGGATATTTTTTTGCACGCTTCATACATACAAGATAACATCGTCCCCTCTGCAACCAATTAGTCGTTCTTCTTATTTGCCGACTAATTGCGACTAATCCGCGCTAATGATCCAATCTCCGAGATTTCTCGGATCATGGTCGGAAAATCGCCTCAGATTCGCGCGATGCGCATCCTGCGCACACTGCATCGAGATTTGTCGCACGTAGGGCAGACAAGCTTCGGGCGAAAAACCATCGCATCGCGTGTCAAAGGCATTAATCCTTTGCTTCCCGATAGAAATGGGATGCGAGACGACGTGCTTTTATTAAGTAACTCCGTTCGCTCGCAGATTCGATCAATTCGCGCTGCGAATTTCGTATTCACGTGCGAAGTCACGCGAGATCTCCCTTCGCGCGGGCGTAAAAGGAGGCTTATCACGGATACGTTCGAGATGCATCTCGGTGCACGGCCGTGCGGGAATTTAACCGTCGTAAACGCTCAATACGTTTGGAAATCGCTTCGAATAAAACAGGCGGACCCTCTTTCAAACGCTCGCCTTTTACGGCGGATGTAAAATTTTACGCGCCAAGAGTTTCGCGCATATAAGCGCCGGAATGAAGATAGAAATTAAAGCAAAAATTTTAATAAGGCTGTACCGTTATAAGATTTTTTTTTTTAAATTTGTGCACATTTCGAGAATCCGAGTTTTCGTGAGTCTTTTGGCGCATCTTCTTTTCATTATGCAACAAAATTTAGGGCTTAATCTAATTTAGCGGGTCAAAAAAATTGATCGTTTTTTTACAGTTTCTTGAAAGTATGATGTTAATAATCTTATTCCAGTTTTATTCCGTAGGATATTTATTGTGGGATATATCTAATTTCATTAGAGAAAATTAAAAAATAACAAAAAGTGTCATTTTAAAATTAGATATTTCAGTTTTGCTGAAATTTTTTCATTTCTTGAAAGTCGAAGAAATATTAAATATTAATTTTTAAAATTCTTTTTGTTTTATTAAATTCTAATTAGAGGTTCGATATCCCCCTAAAAAGTATTCTTTCTTATTTAAGAGAATTGATGTTATTTAGTCCATTAGTTTTCAAGATATCAATCACACTAATTTTGAAAACAGTATTTTGAGAAAAACACTTTTAAAGTTTTGCAGATCCAATTAAAGATCCGTGCATTATTTTATTCAAAGTCTTATAACTCCGACAATTATGCGAATTTTTCAATGAAATTTGAAAGACATTCTCCAGATATTATACTTTCAAAAAATGTAAAAAAAATTAATTTTTTTTGATCCTCTAATATAAATTGGGCCCTAAACTTTGTTCCATAATATACCTGATTTCAATTTTAAATTTATTTTTGAATCTTGGATATTTTTTTGCACGCTTCATACATACAAGATAACATCGTCCCCTCTGCAACCAATTAGTCGTTCTTCTTATTTGCCGACTAATTGCGACTAATCCGCGCTAATGATCCAATCTCCGAGATTTCTCGGATCATGGTCGGAAAATCGCCTCAGATTCGCGCGATGCGCATCCTGCGCACACTGCATCGAGATTTGTCGCACGTAGGGCAGACAAGCTTCGGGCGAAAAACCATCGCATCGCGTGTCAAAGGCATTAATCCTTTGCTTCCCGATAGAAATGGATGCGAGACGACGTGCTTTTATTAAGTAACTCCGTTCGCTCGCAGATTCGATCAATTCGCGCTGCGAATTTCGTATTCACGTGCGAAGTCACGCGAGATCTCCCTTCGCGCGGGCGTAAAAGGAGGCTTATCACGGATACGTTCGAGATGCATCTCGGTGCACGGCCGTGCGGGAATTTAACCGTCGTAAACGCTCAATACGTTTGGAAATCGCTTCGAATAAAACAGGCGGACCCTCTTTCAAACGCTCGCCTTTTACGGCGGATGTAAAATTTTACGCGCCAAGAGTTTCGCGCATATAAGCGCCGGAATGAAGATAGAAATTAAAGCAAAAATTTTAATAAGGCTGTACCGTTATAAGATTTTTTTTTTTAAATTTGTGCACATTTCGAGAATCCGAGTTTTCGTGAGTCTTTTGGCGCATCTTCTTTTCATTATGCAACAAAGTTTAGGGCTTAATCTAATTTAGCGGGTCAAAAAAATTGATCGTTTTTTTTACAGTTTCTGAAAGTATGATGTTTGGAGAATGTCTTTCAAATTTTATTGAAAAATTCGCAAAATTGACGGAGTTATAAGACTTTGAATAAGATAACGCACAGGTTTTCAAATAGGCCTGCAAAACTTAAGTGTTCTTGTCAAAACACTGTTTTCAAAATTAGTGTGACGGATGTCTTGTAAATTAATGGACCAAATAACTTTTATTTTCTTAAATAAAAGAGGACACTTTTTTTTAGGGAGGGGGGGGATACTAAATCTCTAATTAGAATTAAAAATTAATATTTAATATTTATGTGCATATCATTATTGTCGATTTTCGGAAAAGTCCTATTTAATTAATAATCATTTCAAGTGACTAACAAACTATTGGCGGGTTCGCGTTTATCGCCGCAACTAATTAATACCCGTCTGTTACACGATTTGTGCTACTTTAGATTACCTGCCTCCGGGAAACATCATCCTAAACCGTTACGAGAGGGATGCTTTCGCGCAACCAAATTACGTACGCTCGCAATCATCGTAGTTAGCGATTCAATCGTCTCTCGCATAGTTACTTTGATTATCCGTAAAACTCGTCCAATTAATAACGATCGTCTTGATAAGTAGACGAAGTCGATATGACGCTGCGAAATGGATCTTTGTTAATTACGCCGTCTTTTCAAACGGTTCTTTTGGCCATTGTTAATCGCGCTTTTAGTATATATACTTAAACATTCCTTGTTTGTCTTTTTTTAATTCGTTTACAATCGATTTTTTTGTAATGGAAATTCGATCGAGGATCACCTGTCTTTGCATAATCTTTGCGCGTTCTGTTATTCGCATCGCTCATATAATTCGCGTTTATCTCACATCGCGCGCCGGAAAACGTGTGATGTAACGCGTGCGGCTGCTCCCGAGGGTTGATACTACCCGGCATAAAGGTACTAATTACTTTAGGACTAATTACTTTAGGAAGCAACTTGCGCGCCACGTAATACTATACGGACGCATAAATTGTCGGCGCCGATAGATAATGTAGTCCAGAATTTCGGGAGCCGAAATTACCGCCGACCACGAAACTTTACAACGCGGCCCCGACGGTAATACGTTATTTTCCGCCACGTAATTTTTTTATTTTTTTTTTTTTAGTCGCCCTGCATTAATCTCGGTCGATCGCATCCCTCGGACGTGTAATTTTGAGCGAAAAATGGCTTGATTCGTTTTCTTGCTCGAACGATTTCGCGTTCTACCATATTTAACGCTATCTATTTTTTTTTTTAATAACAACGTTTTTCAAAACTTTATTCGCGGCAAATGACGCACATTAATGTATACGTTTCCCTCGGGCAAAAATTAAGTCGGGAATTGATAATCAAATGGCAATCTTCGTGAACTATGTCGCTTAAACGAGTGATAATAAGATGCGAAAAATAAATTATTTATGCAGGTAGCAAAGGTTGAACTTTCATTAAGTCAATGTGGAGAGTGGCTTCACTATCTTCCCAAAGAATAAAGACCTTCATTAAAACTTATTATCCCCTTTTACTCTGTCAGAACTGAGGAACTTTACGTTACTGGCGAGGTACTTTGGGCGACAATAGAAACGTAATTTTGCATAGACCCTTTTAAGACGTAATTTATCGCGCGACCTTGCCCTAATTTCACAAAAAAAAAAGAAAAAAAAATTCTACACCCTCGAGATATCGTGCCAAATGTGATTTCTGTTAAAGAGAAATAATTATGAGAAAGTGAATCTCCATAAAGTCTCGTTTAAAATGGCTTTCCGACAATGGCTCTACTTGACGCTAAATATTATAATATATTAACTATATAGTCTCTTACCGCTTCCGGGTATATACAGGTTGAGAAAGAGGCAGTCCTCGCTCTGATTGGTCAAGAATACGATCATCTTTTTTAGCTGTTGATATCTCCCATGCGGCATTTGGAGGAGCGCGGCGGTGTCATTGGTGAGATCCGGATAGTTTTGCGGGCACACCGCGCCAAAGGTGTCCGCTAATTTGACGCCGCTCCAAGGTATCGGCGACATCGGAGCACGGAATCTTAATTCTCCCTCCGGAGGCGCGGCGTAAGGTATGCCGCGAAACACTTCTACGGGGTCCAAGTGCCGGCTGTTCAACTCCTGCAACAAGAGAGGAAATAGTAGAATAAGTCTAATATCTCCGGAGAAGAGGAGGGATGAGTTTTAACCCCTGTTAGGCCGTCTGCATCGATTTCCAAACTACCCTCGATATTCATCGATATTCATCGAGTCTTATCAACTTGGCTACATCTTTACATGTGGACATCTATATTTATCAATTTTATTACATCTCAGACTGTATCAGATCGCGGTTTATCGATTCCATGTCCAAGGATAGCTTTAAAATTGATAAATTTAGGTAAGCTCTTCTTTTCCTTTCTCCGTCGTTCTTTGTTATGTGCGCAAGTGGTTTCTAAAATGTCTGTCCGCGATATATCACTTTCCGCTCAGTGCATACAGATATCTCCGAGTGCAATGGTAACAGACAGAGCCGAGAGCTCTCGCCCGCACCCAATATCCATCTCATCTCCTACACGCGGTAGAGACGCGATGCGCGAGTGATTCGAAGGATGTGCTCGGCTTGGACGAGGAAAAAGAATCCGCCGGCACGACACCACCGTCCTTAAACAGGCCGGTGATTAAAAAACGCTGCATTAAAAGGGCGAGCTCCGATTCTCTTTAATGAAAACATCGCGACGATCGAACCGCAAAAGCAGACAGAATATAAAAAAAAAAGTAGATGACAGAAGAAAAAATAATGCGAGTTGTAAAAAGAATCTCTAAATACTTCCATAATGTTTAATCTAATTGCAAAAGTAAATTATAATAATTCGCTTGTTTAGTTGCACATATTTATTATATATTAAAAAAA